CTCGCTCTCGCCCTGCCCTCGCTCTCGCCCTGACCTCCCTGCCCTCGTTCTGCTGTACTGTTCCAATAAACATCGAACATCGAACTGTCCAGCACAGGAACGGGCCCTTTGGCCCACGATGTTGTGCCAAACATGACGTCAAATTAAACCAATCCCTTCTGCCTATCCTTGGTCCTTACCCTCCATTCTTTGCATATTCATGTGCTTATCTAAAAGCCCCTTAAACGCTCCTGTCGTATCTGCCTCCACCACTGCTCCTGGCAGTACGTTCTAGGTTCCTACCACTGTCTGTGTAAAAAAACCTATCCCTCACATCTTCTGTGAACTTTCCACCTCTCACCTTAAATGCAAGCCTCCTAGACATTTCAGTTCTGGGAAGAATGAAGGTCAATGTAAGCTTGAGGAACACAGATACATCTCTTCATTGGACACTTTATAGCCCTTTTATCTCAACAATAAATTCAACAATTTTGTATCTGCCCTTTTTTAAAAGCACTTTTTTAAACTCCTTGTTTCTTTCTTAATTTATTCAGGCTGTATTTGGATACAGCTACCTTGCCATTCAGATCTTCTTCATATGCCTCTTACTGACTTATTACTGCCTTCTTTAACTCCTGTACCATGAAATCTTGTGTCATTTTAATCGCTCCTCCTCCTGTCATTTTATAAAACCTATTACTTACATTTCTAACTTTTTTCAAGTCTGATGTAAGGTCACAGACCTGAAACATTAATCTCTCTTTCTCTCTCTCCACAGAGGCTGCATAGTCTCGTGAAAATTCCCAGTAGATTTGTTTTATTAAAATGCCAAAGATTTAGATGAGGGATGGGGTTGAATGAAATGTAGGAATCAGTGCTGAAAAGTCACACAGGAAACATTATTTACAGTGACTCAGATGCTATCAGCTGTGGGTCAGTGGTACAGTCCTTGCCTCTGAGTCAGAGGTGAGATTTGGAGAGTGCTGCACTGTGCAAGGTTCTGTCTTTTAGACGAGACATTCATCTGGGGTTTGCTCCCTCAGTTGAACATAAAAGATTCTATTGCACTGTTGCAAGGAAGAGCAGGGGAGTTCTGCCCAAGCATGCAAGATAAAATGGCTCTCTCAATCAACAGCACAAAATTCGATTGTCCAGCCATTTTCGCACTGCTACTCGTGGGAGCTTGCCATGCACAAATCTCCGCCATGCTTCCTACAACAGTGACTGCACTTTGAAAAGATTTCACTGGTGGGAAATGCTTTCGGGCAGGACGTGCTGCCGCGCAGTGGGTACTGCCCTCTCCTCTGGGCCAGGGGTTGCAGGTTCAAGTCTCAACTCAGCCTTTGATGTCCATACATGACAAAACCAGAGTACTATCAGTCTGTAAATAGGCTTGCGGCAGACAGGAAGAGTGGGAGAGTTTGGTCAGTCAGAACCATACACTGCAGTGTAACAACATCCACACACATGGTGAAACACCGTGGACAGGCTCTGGAATGAATAAATATCAGCCCCCTTCCAAAGGACCAGCACTGATACACTTTAGGATATCCTATGATCATGGAGGGTGCTACATAAACCCAAGTCTTGCAAAGGACCCTGAGTGAGAACCAAACAACCAGAACTGATTCCAAAATTGAAAGTAAGGAACTACAGGTGCTGGGAACCTGAAATAAAACCAGAAAGTCCTGGAAAAACTCAGCAATATCTGTAGAGAGGGAAATGAAGTTCACATTTTAGACCAATTTCCTTTCATCAGAGCCTGGTCTTCAGGATATTTCCAGTGTTTTCTGCTTGGTAACTTTCTAATATCTTTTGTTCCTGTTATTCTAGAGCAAACCTTGCTCGTCATTAATACCCAATCCACATCACTATGCTACAGCATCAATTAGTGATGCAGGTTCCTGATGGTCGATGCAGGCCAGTTGTAATGGCCCAGGATTACTGCTGACCTGGAAGTCACACACAACCCAAATAAAAATGGACATGATAGTCCCACGTCACACACAATGGATGTCCCACAGCAGTGAGTGTGGGGTTTACTTTGGGAAAAATTTTCACCTCCTCTTGAAAGCATCAATGATCCCACAATCACTATCTACACAGACTCCTAGTGTAGAGCGAGGGGTCTATCACAGGGGAAGGATCTGTCACAGAAACCAGAGGACAGACAGAGGGAAGGGAGGGCAAATGGGGGGAGAGGAGAGGAGGAAAGAAAGGAGGGACTGAGGGGAGGACAGGAGAGAGGGAGAGGAGAAAGAGTCAACCTTTGCTGGCTTCTCTACACTGGTGACTGTGTGTGAGATTAAATCACCCAGAACTTCTGACAATGAAGAGGTTGGGCATTCAATGAGAACCTCTCTGTTTTAGGTCCAAGATACAGAGAGAGAAAACATGAATGGTGTGAATTATGTAACTGGACAGGATAATAATGAGACCCTCTGCATCTCCCATTCTCCCTGGGACAGATGGTGGTGTCAACTGGGAACAGCTCAGCTTGTGGCCTCACTGTACAGGACTGCACTGAAACCCTACCAAACACACAGACATAGAGACAGAGGCACTGACACACTCGCACATGCAGAGATAGATTCTCAGACACGGCCACGCAAAGAGACATGGCCACGCAAAGAGACACGGCCACGCAGAGGCAGAGACAGAGACACACACAGAGAGACAGACACACACAGTCAGAGACACAGCCACGCAGAGGCAGAGACACAGACACACAGAGAGACAGAGACACACACACATGCACACACACAGAGAGACACAGCCACGCAGAGGCAGAGACACAGACACACAGA